AAGAAGGAAATAAAATTGTCCATTCACAAACAACATGACTGTATGTGTAGAAAATCCTTTAAAAATCTACCAAAAAAGAAGTGCCTGGGTGGCTCAGTCGTTAAGCGTCTGCTTTCGGCTCAGGTCATGATCCCAGGGTCCTGGGATCAAGCCCCTCATTGGGCTCCCTGCTCTGCAGGAAGCCTGCTTCTCCCTCTTCCACTCCCCCTGCTTGTGTTCCCTCTCTCCTGTCTCTCTCTGTGTCAAATAAATAAATAAAATCTTAAAAAAAAAAAATCTACCAAAAAAAAAAACCCTAGAACTAAAAATACATTTATCAAGGTCTTGGGATAACAGGTCACTACACAAAATTCATTTGTATTACTTTATACTAGCAATAAATATTTGAAATTTGACATTTAAAAATACCATTTACAACAGTGCAGTGCAGAACACTGTAGAAATAAACCACAAAAATACAGTCAACTCATCATCAAAAGGGAACAAAGACAATTCAAGAGAGAAACAATAGTTTTTACCAAAAATAGTTCCAGAAAAATTAGCAATTCATATAAAAAATAAATGAATTGAGGCACAGACTTTAGACCTTTCACAAAAGGTAACTCACAAAGGATCATGCCCCTAAGTAGAAAAAAATAGCATTATAAAATTACTAGAAGAAAACAGAGGAGAAAATCTATGTGGCTTTGTGTTTCACAATGTGTTTTTAAATACGACACCAAAAGCATAACTCAGGAAAAAAAGTGATAAATTGGACTGTATTCACAGTAAAAAATTGCTTTGTGAAAGACAGTTAAGTGAGTCAAATGATAAGCCACAGAGAATATATTTGGATAACATCTATCTGATAAAGGATTGTATCTAAAATATACTGAGTATTTAAAACTCAACATTTAGAAAACAAACAACCTGATTAAAAAATGGGCAAAATATCTGAACAAATGCCACATCAAAAAAAAATATATATATAGAGAGAGAGAGAGAGAGAGAGATGACAAATAACTATATAAAGAGATATTAACCATCATTTGTCATTAAGGAATCACAAATTAAAATGACAATGAGATACCAAGATACATATTTGAATGACTAAAATCCATAAAAACTGACAATACCAAATGCTGGTGAGATAGAGTAGCACCAGGAACTTTTATTCATTGCTTTCATTCATTTCATTCATGAAAATGCAAAGTTGTTCAGCCAGTTTGGGAGACATTTTGGCAGTTTGTTAGAAAGATAAACATAGTCACACCAATCTTGCAACTAGGTATTTATGCAATTGGATTTTTATTTTTAAAGATGTATGTGTTTATTTGAAAGAGAGAGGGAGACAGAGAGTGGGGGGGAGGAGAGAGAGAATCTCCAGCAGACTCACCACCAAGCATGGAACCCAACATGGAACTTGATTCCACTACCATGAGATCATGACTGGAGCCTAAATCTAGAGTCATACACTTAACCAACTGAGCCACCCAGGTGCCCCTATCCAATTGGTTTTAAAACTTCAGATTTCCACATAGGAAACTAGAAGAAAATATTTAGCAGCTTTACTCATAACTGCCAAGAACTGGAAGCATCAAAATACCTTTCAATGGACGAATGCATAAATAGTGATATATCCATACAATGGAATATTATCCAGCAATAAAAGGAAATGAGCTATAAACTACACAAAAAAGGAAAAATCATGGAGAAGCCTAAAATGCATATTGATAGGTGATTCAAATTATTTAATACTCTGGAAAAGGCAACAGTATACAAAGGGTAAAAAACATCAGTGATGGCTTAGGATGTGGAAGGAGAAGAACAGGAGTGAATAGGGAAAAACAGATTTTTTTAGGGGAGTGAAACTATTGTGTATGATATTATAATGTTGGAAACATGGTATTATATTTGTTGAAACCAATTATACCTCACAGCACAAAATGAAACTTAATGTATACAATTTAAAGAAAATATATCATTTAGGAGGTTGGGGGATCCCCAGAAGCAATTCAGACTATGACAAAAGGATGTGACTATATTTACAAATGTATGTAACAAACTCAGTGAGATGGTGGGGGTGGGGTGGAAGAAGGAACTGAAATAACTTTGGAAATGAGAGGTATATGTAATCTTAAAGGCAAAGGAACTTTATAAAATTACTGTACTCTAGCTAATTATATTATTCCCATGAAGGTAATAGTTAACAATTCTGATATTTCTATACATATATACTAGAGTTGGAAAATGAAGCTAAATAACAAATAGTAAAAGGCAGCCTACTTTGTTGGAGTAGGAATTCACATAAAAGCAAGAGCAGAAGGTTACAATGGTTCTTATGGTGGTAATGGATTAGAGTTGGAGACATCAGTAAGACCTAAGTTAGAGTCAAGAAGATATAACAATTCTAAATATTTATGCACCCAACATGGGAGCACCCAAATACATAAAACAGTTAAAAACAAACATAAAGGAACTAATCGATAATAATACAATAGTACGGGACTTTAACACCCCACTTATATTAATGGACAGGTCATCTAAACAGAAAATCAACAAAAAAACAATGGCTTTGAATGACACACTGGAACGATGGATTGAACAGATATATTCAAATGTTCCATCTTAAAACAGCAGAATACACATTCTTTTCAAGTGTTCATGGAACATTCTCCAGAATAGATCACATATTAGCCTACAAAACCAGCCTCAACAAATTCAAGAAGGTTGAAGTCATACCATGCAACTTTTCTGACCACAAGCTATGAAGCTAAAAGCCAACCACAAGAAAAAATCTGAAAAGACCACAAATACATGGAGGTTAAGTGAATGGGTCAACAGAAAATTAAGGAAGAAATAAAAAAGTACATGGAAACAAATGAAAATGAAAACACAACATCCCAAAACTTCTGGAATGCAGCAAAAGGGGTCCTAAGAGGGAAGTATATAGCACTACAGACCCACCTCAAGAAGCAAACAACAACAACAAAACAAAACAACAACAACAAAAAAACCCACCTTGAATAAACAACTTAACCTTATACCTATAGGACTTAGAAAAAGAACAACAAACAAAACCTAAAAACAGCAGAAGGAAGGAAATAATAAAGATTAGAGAAGAACTAAATGATCTAGAAGCTAAACAAACAGTAGAAGAGATCAGTGAAACCAGGAGATGGTTCTTTGAAACAATTAATAAAATTGATAAAACTCTAGCCAGACTAATTAGGAAAAAAAGAGAAAAGACCCAAATAAATAAAATCACAAATGAGGAAGGAGAAATAACAACCCCCACCACAGAAATACAAACAATTATGAGAGAATATTGTGAAAAACTCTGTCAACAAACTGGAAAACCTAGAAGAAATGGAAAAATTCTTAGAGACATATAAACTACCAAAACAGAAACAGGAAGAAATAGAAAATTTGAAAAGATTGATAACCAGCAAAATTGAATCAGTAATCAGGAAACTCCCAACAAACAGAAGTCCAGGACCAGATGGCTTCACAGGTGAATTCTACTAAACATTTAAAGAAGAGTTAATACCTTTCCTTCTTAAACTGTTCCAAAAAATAGAAAAGGAAGAAAAACTTCCAAATTCATCCAATGAGGCCAGCATTCTGGTACCAAAACCAGATAAAGAACACTAAAAATGACAACTACAGGCCAATATCCCTGATGAACATAGATGAAAAAATCCTCAATAAAATACAAGGAACTTGAATCAAATAATATGTTAAAAAATCATTTACCACAATGAAGTGGGATTTATTCCTGGGTTGCAAGTGTGGTTCAATATCTGCAAAACAAGCAACATGATATCACATCAATAAGAGAAAGGATATGGTCATTCCAATAGACATGGAAAAAGCATTTGACAAAATACAACATTCATTCATGATAAAAACCCTCAACAAAGTAGGTTTAGAGGGACCATACCTCAACTTAATAAAGGACATATATGAAAAACACACAGCTAACATCATCCTCAATGGGGAAAAACTGAGGACAGGAATAAGGCAAGGATGTCTACTCTCACCACCTCTATTCAATGTAGTACTGGAAGTACTAACCACAGCAATCAGAAAACAAAAAGAAATAGAAGGCATCCAAATCAGCAAGGAAGAAGTCAAACTTTCACTATTTGCAGATGACATGATAATCTCCATAGAAAACCGAAATACTCCACCAAAATACTTCTAGAACTGATAAATTTGGTAAAGTCGCAGAATACAAAATTGATATACAGAAATCTGTTGCATTTCTATACACCAATAACGAAGCAGCAGATAGAGAAATTAAGAAAACAAACCCATTTACAATTGTGCCAAAAACAATAAGACATCTAGGAATAAACCCAACCAAAGAGGTGAGAGACCTATACTCTGAAAACTACAAAACAGGGCTAAAAATTGAAGACAACACACAAAAAAATGAAAAGATATTCTATGCTCATGGACTGAAGAATAAATATCATTAGAAGGTCTATACTCCCCACGGCAATCTACACATTTAATGCAATCTCCATCAAAATACCAACAGCATTTTTCACAGAAGTAGAACAATTCTAAAATTATAATCAAAAGACCCCAAATAGCCAAAGAAATCTTGAAAAAGCAAAGCAAAGCAATTTCACACTCCAAGTAATATTACAGAGCTGTGATAATCAAAATAGTATGGTACTGGCACAAAAACAGACACATAGACCAATAGAAATGGATAGTAAGCCCAGAAATGAACCCACAACTATACACTGAATTGATTTTATAGAGCAGCCCCAGGTAATGTTAACAACTAGATTAAAAAAATAAGGAGAACCAATGTTATTCTGTATATTCTTGAGCTGGGAAGCTTCTCAAAGGAGTCATGTTCAGGAAATGATACTCAAAAACATAAATTCTTATACATTAAATTTCCCTGTTAAGTAAGTCTCTTTCAAATTCTTTAGTTAACAGCAATACTTTAAAAATCTTCAACTGCAAACTCTTAGCTTGCAATGTTTTGATTTTTCCTGAATCTTGAAAACTTCAGTTATATTAAATATATTATCTTCTGTTTCTTCTTAAAGAACTCATGTTCATAAAAGGATCGTCATCGTCATCCTCATCTGATTCAAAATCTACCCCTTTAGCTATTCGGCTCTGGGACATGCGCTTGCTTGATGATGATGTGCTCGACCACCTCTGTTCTGTTTTTGAAGTGGTAGGAAAAATGTCTTCTTCCACATCTGACTCATCCACCTCAATCACCTCTGAATAATTCTTAGCAGCAACATTTCGGGACTGCTACTGTCTTGCAGATTTAAAGGCATCTATAATAGACATGTTCACTAGGTGTTGACATAGTGGCCTTTGAACTTCTGCTTCGAGTAGAAGTCTCTAGACCAGTGCCTCTTCCTCTCTGAGACCCCTCTCTCCAGGCTGAGTTCTGCCCTCTTCCTCCTCAGCGGCCTCTTCCTTGGCCTCCTCCTCGGCTGGCTGCTGCTGTGATGTCTTCATCAGAGTCCTCAGCCATCTGTTCTGCCAAATCTATACTCATGAGGTCCTCAGCACTAAAGGCAGAAGCAGAGTCCTCAGACTGAGATCTGAGGGCTCTGGCCCTTGTCATAGCCTCTCGAACTTCATCATCTTCTTCATTAGTGTTTTTTTGTCTGCTTTCTCTGAAACGGCATACCTCTTCATCGATTTTATCTTCTAGGGCATCAATATGACGCTCTTTAAGAAATCGCTGTGTTTTTTCCAACTGGTATTTCACTAATTCCTCTATGGCATCTTTTTCTTCCTTGTCCACAAATTCTTGTACTGCTTCACCCATTCCCCTTTCTGTTAGAAGTGAGAGCTGCACATTCTTCTCTGCAGTCTGAAAATACTGTTTTACAAGGTCTTCTACTCTTAGGGTTGTTGTTTCTGAAGATTTTGTGATGAGCTTCCCAAAGCTGATCTCTTCTCCCATGTTTTTCTTTTGTTCTTTATGTCTGAAAAAATGGATAACATCTTTTGGATTAGCTACCCGATCCATAAATTTCTGGCTAGAGCGAAGAACACTGAAAGGCTCAAAACCTCCACTATAGTCCACTTGCAGTCGTATAAGAGGCTTCTCTGGCTGTCGAGAATTTCCCAGACGTTCTCGTTCAGCATTTTCAAGCATTTCTTTAATCTTCTCCAAACAGAAGCTCTGTATGGCCTGGGTTACTTTAGGATTATCTGGGTTAAAAATGTCTGGATGATCAGCCAGAACAATATCCTCCATGAAAAACTGCCGCACTGTGTGAAGAGGAATTTTCTGCATATTCATCTTCCTTCCATTTATACGCAGCAAACCGACATGTTTCTTTACAGCTTCTCCTGGGGAAAGAGAAGTAACCACTGAACTTCCAGGTTGTGATATATAAAAGAGTTGTTGTTCATTTTTGGTTGGAGCTATTTTACACTTATGTTCATGGCCCCAGATAACAAGATCAATGAAGTCATCCAAAAATTGTTCTGGAATGAAGTTAGTACTTCCATGTTTACTCCTGTTCTGATGAATCACAAATAAGTTAAACCAAGAGTTCTCATCTTCTTTTGGTCTCAACATTGTTACTTTTTTATTGATGAACATTCGATAGAGACTTTCATCTGGAATGGAACCTAAGCCATATAGAGCAATTTTTGTGCTTCCTTTTTGGAGCAAAACTGGACTAATGTCTATCTTCTCCACAGACACTGAACATCCAAAGTGATTTACAAATCCAGCACAACTTAAAATATCCAGGGCACAGAGGACGTCTGCCCCTGTGGGATCATCATGATTGCCATGAATACTAAACACTGGAATTGAAATGTTGAGATTGTCATCTTGGTAGTTCACCCATGAAAACTTACTAAAACCAAAGTTGACTGATCGCTGAGAATTTCAAACTGTACAGGACGATCACCCATGCAGTATTTTCTTAATAACTCAAGGCAGGTATGTAATGTTTTTCTTGAGGGCTTATTTTCATGAAAAAGATCACCACCTAACAAAATAAAATCCACTTCGTTTTCCTAGGCAAGTCTTAAAATTTCATCCAATGTTACAAATGTATCATTTCCTCTGACTGCATCTTTCTCCATAAATCCCAGATGAATATCTGTTGCAACTAAGATTTTAAATGTATTTTCATCATCAAGGGCATCTGCAGGACTCATTCTTATGGTCAGTCCAACTCCTCTGGAACCACTTTTCTCTCCAAGTACTCCTGGGTCGTGTGATCAAATATGTCAGAAAACTCACTCAATTCCAAATTCTAGCAAATTCCTTAAAACTAGTGTAAATAAACAGAAACATGTGCTCCCGGAGAAATGCCCTGCGCCCCCAAGGCAAGTGGAAATGGCCAAGATATTCTGGGAAGAGGGGCTGCGGCTGCAAAACAACCCCTCCCACGTCCGGACTCCTGGTTCCTTCCAGATTCTAAGTCTCAACACACTACCCCCAAACCCAGCTGGACTCTCTGAAGCCTGAACCAGAACCCTCCAGGGCTTAACTGACAGGTCCCATTCTTTCCATATATACTTATTTTTATATAAATATATACAGGTTAGTTTATACACATATATTTGATGTGTTTGAGGAAAGAACCTAAAAGAAATGGCTCCTCAGTAGAATTTGCACAATTAGCATCCAGATCCTGTTTCCAGAGCTCCTTGGATAAACGGCTGATTCTAGGACCGGGCCTACAAATAATACAAGATGAACCTGGAGCATCTTATAGTGTGAGAAATTAACAAAGTTCTCAAAAGGACTTCAAAAAATACCAACATTGATGGAAGCACATCAAAAGGGTGTTAAGAACCAACTGAAAGAACATCAAATGGTCAATGCTAAAAAATTTGAGCAAGAAAATATATTAGGGTAGTACTGGACTTTGATTCAAAGTATAAAATACATATCATGAGCCATACTAATAATTTTTTCTATAAATAAATAAATGCATAAAGGAGAGAGAAGAAAAAATCTCCTATGCAGAAGAATTCCAAGTGATTTATGTAGATTCGGTCATCAAGGAGGGGGATCATAAGTTGCACATAATGATTTTCTTCCAAATTACAGTATGGAAAGAGGAAGGGGATAAAAGTAACTCTACAGAGGGCAAACCAGGAATGCTACCTCAGCCAGGTAATCAAGGCCAACATAAACAGTCATTAATCATGTCAATATTATGCTCCCTTTAATGATGTGACGAAAAGGACACTTTACCTCTATGGTCTTCTTCCCCTAAAACGTTAACTGTGGTTTATTCATGAGAAAAATATCAGACAAATACCTATAGAGGTTCATGCTACAAAATACCTGACCAATAGGCGTCAAAATTTTACCATCATGGAAAATGTCTGAGAGATGTCCAAGGACGTATTGGTCAAAGGGTACAAACTTCCAGTAATAAGATGAACAATTTCAGGAGTTCAAATGTGTTGCATGGTGACTATAGTTTAAAATACTGTAAAAAGGTCTGAGAAATTGACATAGATAACAAGAGCCTAAGGAGACGTGGCAACTGAATGTAATGGGGTATTCCGATGGAATCCTAAAACAAATAAGCAAAAAGGACATCAGGTAAAACAAACAAACAAACAAACAAACAACAACAACAAAAAAAAGGAAATCTGAATAAACACTGGATAGTGTATCAATATCTGTTCAATAAATATAATAAATATACTCTAGTAATGTAAGAGATTTATAAGGGTGGAAACTGAGGGCTATGTATATGGTAACTCTATTATCTTTTCAATTATTCTGTAAATCTGAAACTTTTCTATAATATAGATCTGTAAAAACATTCAATGACCTCAAAATGGCCCACAAAATCGTTCATAATACACAATTCTACCTTTCTGTGAACATCTTCCATTGCCTGTCCTTTTCACAGTCTGCCCCCACAACAATAGCTTCCACACTGGTCTTTAAGGACACTATACCTGCTCCCATCATAAGGAGAACCTGATGTGACTTCTACCTGGAACATTTTTTCTGCAGACATCTGCTTATATCCTTCGTTCTTCAGGTCTCTGCTCAAGAACAGCGTCATCTGAGAGAACTTCCCTGAAGATCCTATACAAAATAAGACTCTCCCTAGCCCATCTCCAGAAATTCCTATCACTCTTCCTCAGTTTTATTACCTACCTTTCATAGAATTTTTCATTATTTGGCATGTTATATATTTACATGTTTACATATTTAAGGTCTGGCTCCTTCCACTAGCATATAAGCAGCATGTGGGGAGGAATGTGACTGTTCTAGTCACTGTTGTATGGCAGAATTTAAGAGTATTTGGTCTATGGTTGCCATCCAGTAAATGAGTGAATGAAGCATGCAATAGACTGATGAATGTAGGTAGAATCTCTATAAATTTACATCAGTGTATCTAATATATACGTAGAAAGACTATCTAACAGCAAAACTTTTAATATTAACTTTCTCCTTGCTTGTCCTTAATTTCTGTGAATTTTGCAGAGTTTAAGTTTACATTTTATATCTATACAACACTTTATAATACTTCCATTATGACAGCTGCAGTAGGCATAATGCTGTTTGCAGCACAGTGTGAATCACAGTCTGGAATATATAATGTTTAAACCTCTGACTGAACTGGAATATATAATTTCACAATGTAGTAAAAAATGTGCATGAACTTGGCATTAAAAATGACAATAAAATATTATTACCAAGCAGACTTTTGGAATACTTCTTGGAGACTTCCTGAGTGTATACTAGAAAGGAAATGCTTTACTAACACTCAGTTCATGAACTTTACTACAAAAAAATCTGACAATTGGATTACATGGTTGTGTCACAATTTGGATGTAATATCAAAAACCTGGAGGATGTGCAATATAAGAGAGAATATACTAAATATGCTTCCTACTGAGTATTCAAATCAAATGTGTTTTAAACACAAAATGAACCCATAAAATTCCATTTTAATTTTCTTCCAACCACAGAAGCTGGAGAAATGCTGTGCTGTAGTTTGAATATGCTGAAATTAGTCACTGCAGAGGCTAAGATATAAAACAAGTGATCTGGAAACACCCATTATTGAGAGACATCTTTAAACAATGAAAAGTAAGATACATATGATACTTCACGTATTATTACTAACATTGACTCCTTGCAACTAAGATATTCACAGTACAAAGAAATTAGAAAAAAAAACCTCTCGCAATTTTGAACAGCTATTAATATATTCTTCAAACACATCACAACCACCGGATACTTCTCAACTTATGTATTTCTCATTAATATATTTTACTGCTTTAAGATTTCAGCAAAAGTTCTAGGCTTTGGGTTTCAGAAGTTCCAGGTGCTTTTAATTATTCAATGTATTGAAAATACTGTATTCAGCCTTGGCTGGAAAAAAATAAATTGGTCGTTGGATAAACATTACTATCATTCAAAAAATGTTGACGGAACATACACTATATTTGTTTTAAGGAAATATTATTACTAGTCAAGAAATATTCACTGAAGGGCACCTGGCTGGTTTAGTCAGTAGAGCATGTGACTCTTGATCCCAGTGTCATGACTTCAAGCCCTATGTTGGGTATAGACGTTACTTAAAAAAAATATATTCATTTAATATCTACTCTGTTAAAGGAAATTGCACAGAATCAAAATTTAGAGAGTTAATAGAGAAGATAAATTTTATAAATAAATGTTTACAAAGAAGAATGTTTTGTGCTGCATCACTATCTTTGTATATTTATAATAGAAAAAATAAGTGTGATTGCACACAAGATAGTTAATAAACATGAATTTCTGGCAGCTATTCCTAAACCCAGACTTAGAGATGCCACCAAAAAGAGAAGGAATTATATGTATACAAAACTGCAGGAACCTCATTAGGAACCTCTATGGACTGAGAAAGCTTGGAGAAATGACAATGGAGTAAAAGACCAAGGAGGAGGAGGACCAAAACCAATGGGAATGGATTGGGAGAGAGTTCTGGATATGTTCTTCTCTTTATTCTATATTGCCCTGGGTATATCAATAGCTACCTGTCAGAACTATGAATTAACTATTGTTGTGGTAGTTTGAAAACAAATCCACAATTTTCTTGATGTTCTTAGCATCAAAAGGCAAAGTCTAATTTCCTTTTTAATATGACTGAACTTAATGACTGACTTCAGACAAATGCAGTAATGTGGAAGTCATGATGTGTGACTTCAGAAACTACGGTAAAAAAGAGTCTGAGGCTTCTTCTATCTGGGATTGTTTACTCTGGGGAAGTTGCTGTCATGTCATGAGGATAGTCAAGTAGCCTATGGATAGGTTCAATTAGCAGGTAACTGAGGCACCTGCTAACAGCCAGTGAGGATCTGAAGCCTTTTCCCAACAGCCATGTGAGCGAGCCAGTTGGAAGCAGATCATTCAATCCCATTAATATCGTGCCTGTAAACAAGTGAGATACCCTGAGCCAGAACCACATTCTTCAATGCTCCTGAATTTCTGAGCCACAGAAGTCCTGAGAAGCTCATTTTTTTTAAGCCGCTAAGTTTTGGGGTAATTTGCTACACAGCAATAGATAACTATTTTCCTTTACCTTATTGAAACAGGAGCTCTCCTTAAATGATATCATTATGACCAAACCTTATCATTATCATGCACAGATATTTTTCCAATGTATTTTGCTCTTTTGACTTTGTCATCTGTCTTCAGGTATCTGTCGTCAAAAAATCTTTTGAAGTTGAGTATACTGAATATTTGCATTTTTTTTTTTTTAATTTAAGGGCTTCTATGTATTGTCTTGGGTAAAATGGAGCAGAATTCAGTGGAATAGCTTAGGACAGATAACAAGTAAGAGAGAGGTAAAGTGCAGTAGGTTCAAGTTGTGATCTGGACTCATTTAAAGGAGAAATAGATGTAAAGTTTTTACATTTTTATGGGATTTGGATAAGAGTCTTTTAAGGAAGGGACTTCTTTTAGAAACTTTATTATACCAATCGAAAAATGAAGTGTATTAACGTCACTGGATGTTTGTGATATTTTTTTACCACTAATTCATTCAAATGAACAGTGTTACACATATCAAAATTCCTTGAAATTACAACTGTAATTCTAAATTATCTTTGGTAAAAGTATGCAATTTAGACAGATAACACATAGGGTTATACTGTCAGTACATGAAAGAAGCAGGTGTCTGGGTCAAATG